TCATCTACCATTATTTTAGTCTTTTCTAACTCATTTGTATAATTTTGATTAGCATTTTGGTCAATCTGCTCTAACCAAAATAGAAATATTTATCATTTTAGTCTTTATTTCACTAATCTTACATATAGATAAAATGTTTTGTAAAATTTGAATGTTAGCTTTGTTTTCATTTTTATTGCAAAGGGGACGTTAACTTTCCTCCACATTACAGTAAGTTTTCCTCGCGCACCGACCGGTAGGCCACCATTCAAAGCACAAGAAGAAAAAAATATTGCTGAATGAGCACACTGTTCAAGTGAAAATTTGAGGGAGAAAATATGGCCTGTAATATTTTGTCTCCTCATTACACTGACAAAAAGAAAGAGAGATTTTATTAACGTTTTTATTTTATGAATTAGATTTTAGTGTCATTTTTTGTCAACAATATTGCATGTGAAGATAGTCACAGTCAGTGTTTAAGTACACTGTCGCTGTCTCATCATCATCTCTTTAGTCAGGGAAAAAAAGGTTGTTGACAAATATATTTCGTTTAGTTTCGTCTGGCGAAAGTAACACTAGTACACCCATAAGTGCAAATGTCCAAATTGGGCCCAAAGTGTTAATATTTTTTGTGGTCACCATTATTTTCCAGCACTGCTTTAACCCTCTTGGGCATGGGGTTCACCAGAGCTTCACAGGTTGCCACTGGAGTCCTCTTCCACTCCACCATGACGAGATCACGGAGGTGGCGGATGTTAGAGACCTTGAGCTCCTCCACCTTCCGTTTGAGGATGCCCCACAGATGCTCAATAGGGTTTAGGTCTGGAGACATGCATGCCAGTCCATCACCTTTACCCTCAGCTTCTTTAGCAAGGCAGTGGTCGTCTTGGAGGTGTGTTTGGGTCGTTATCATGTTGGAATACTGCCCTGCGGGCCAGTCTCTGAAGGGAGGGGATGATGCTCTGCTTCAGTATGTCACAGTACATTTTGGCAGTCATGGTTCCCTCAATGAACTGTAGCTCCCCAGTGCCGGCAGCACTCATGCAGCCCCAGACCACAATGCTTGACTGTAGGCAAGACACACTTGTCTTTGTACTCTTCACCTGGTTGCTGCCACACACGCTTGACACCATCTGAACCAAACAAGTTTATCTTGGTCTCATCAGACCGCAGGACATGGTTCCAGTAATCCATGTCCTTAGTCTGCTTGTCTTCAGCAAACTGTTTGCGGGCTTCCTTGTGCATCATCTTTACAAGAGGCTTCCTTCTGGGACAACAGAGTTCTTTGCCATGAGATGCCATGTTGAACTTCCAGTGACCAATATGAGGAAGTGTGAGAGCGATGACACCAAATTTAACACACCTGCTCCCCATTCACACTGGAGACCTTGTAACACTAACGAGTCACATGACACTCCTACCACCAGGAAAATGGCTAATTGGGCCCAATTTGGACATTTTCACTTTTGTTGCCAGCCGTTTAGACATTAATGGCTGTGTGATGTGTTCTTATGAGGGGACAGCAAATTTACCCTGTAACACAAGCTGCACACTGACTACTTTACATTGTAGCAAAGTGTCATTTCTTCAGTGCTGTCACATGAAAAGATATAATCAAATATTTACAAAAATGTGAGGGGTGTACTCATTTTTGTGAGATACTGTGTATTTGTATAGCAGTTCAGCACAAAACACAAAACTTGTGAAGGTTTTTCATGTTATATTATCTAACATTTAAGTTCTGGTCATTTGCCAACTACCAATCAATTACCAGCTCAGTCAAGCTGCCATAATTATGACAGTTGTCTCTGATAAAGATATATTTTTTGTCAATGCAATCAGATGTAGTAAAGTTCACTTGTTTCAGTATGTGATTTTCTTAGTACCCATAAATTCAACTTTATAGCCATTCCATACAGGTTTCTGCTGGTCACGCTGATTACAAAACATCACATCTGAGTCAGATGAGAGTGAAAACATAATTGAATGCGAAATATGTGCAACACAAAATCAGGTCAAGAACTTCCTGACGAAACACCCTGAGCATTGCTTGATAGACAGAAAGCTTGTCAGAAATATTCCATACATCAGCAGCAGAGTTGCTAAAATTTTGTCAGAATAGCAAAGATTATAAACAGGAAATAAAGTGGTAGCTTTTTGAAAGTAACAACAAACTCCATTAAAAAGGTTTTTAAATGGAAGCCATGCATAATGCTCGACAAAATATTTAGGCCCAGTATCTATTGGTTTTAAGCCTGTACGTTGTTTTCCTAATGGAAAATGTGGTGATAAGACTGTAAAGAGTAGCTTTTAGCCTTCCCTCCAATATATGTGAAACAAGGACATCATAGATGATACAGACTAAGCAGATGTCTCTAAGGAGGAGATTCTTTGTAGCTCTCAAGTAAATATTCCACTTTCAATTGTGTCATTAACATAGACAATTTTTAAATTACAGATGACAGACAAATTATATACATTGCAAACTGCAAATAGAAAGTTGCTGTGCCTTTTGGTCTCCAACTGAAGTGTTCATTAATCCTCAGTGCCAAGGCCAATAGATGAAAATAAAGAGGACTTTTTCCCACTTGGGCATCTTGCAATCTTTAGAAGTGTCTTTTTTTTCCTGTAAGAAGATTTCTTCAACAATTATCAGCCTTTGGTCCTGTATAAGGGGGGGGGGGGGGGATTTTTCAGTAGTGGACGAAGTATTCAGATCCTTTACTTAAAAGTACTAATACCACTCTGTAAAAATACTCTGTTGCAAGTAAGTCAGGCATTGAAAGTGATGATATTGATGATAATGATACTTGGTAATAAAAGTGTAATCAGGAAAATTTAAAAGTACTCAGTGCAGTAAAATGTCCTCTGTTACTGTTGTACTGTTATTATTATTACTATTTTACTGCTGTAGTTGCTAATGTGGATCTCATTTTGAACTATTTAAAATTTTTGTATCAGACTGCAGCCATTCCTCCATTAATCGACTGATTGATTGTTTGGTTTGTAAAGAATAGGAAAAATAGTGAGAAATGAGTCCCAGTTACCCAGAGCCTGAAGTGACACCTTCATGATGCTTGTTGTGTCCAACCACCAGTCCAAACCTCAACATTATTATCAAACATTACAATTATTCAAATCATTAAAAGGAAAAGCAGCAAATCTTCACATTTGTGAAGCTGGAATCATCAAATTTTTACATGAAAAAGAACTTTATCCTGCTATACAACTCATAGGAACCTTATATCCTAGTATTACCTGTTACACTTAAAATACCATTACACAAAACACTGTTATTTTATGACATTTCGAAAAAAAAAGAGTGATCTACATCAAATAATCCACAACTATAATAAAATTTAGTAGAAACACCGCAAATTATCACAAAAAAAGGTGTTATGCCTGAATGAGTTGGAAAGATGAGTGTATTGATAAAAACAAAATCCAACAAAGGGCAGTGGAAACAAACTTAGTGAATAAATCAGGACATACATGAAGCTTGTAACTTAACACTAAACCTGACTGCATTTCACAATGTTAACCACGTGACAAAATGTTTCACAAATGTAACCGGATTTTGGGTATTTATTATTACTAACTTAAGCAGAGCCCTGCACATGCAAAACTTACGCTTAGGGGTATCTGCAGCACCGTACTTTGAAGTTGTTGGGAGTGAGAACGTCTTTGACTGGAGCTCTTTTAAACATGTCACCTTGTTGCACCCTCTTTTTCTGAAATGGTTCAATGACACACCACTTTGTTAGATGTGTTACTTAAAAGGAGAATATGACCGAGTCTTCAACATCCTTACTGTGGTCTCCATTCTTAACAATCTCTACCTCCATCAGAAACTTGTAGGAGGAAACAGAAGTAGCCCAATCCCACCAATCACAGTGCTTGCGGTCCACTCATGGTATCTCTGTAGCTGCCGTGACCTGCAGCGTATCCTCTGAGGCAATGCATGCACGGCATAAACCTTAACACAGGATAAATCCGGCTTTACATTTCACCGAAAACCCTCCTCCGTGTGTGAGTTTATCTTCCACATGTTTTGCCATTCATTATCTCAAATCTCAATATTAAGCTCTCTTTCCCATTTTTTAGCTCAGTGCTTATCATTGGTCAACAATCCTTGATGTAATGCCAAAATGATTCTTTATGAGTTGATTATACATCACGCCATTTCATTTCATTAAGGGGCTCTGTTTTCTTTTCCAGTAATCCCTTACTTGCAGGTATCTGTCTAATTAATGTATCCCCAAATTATTTTTGTCTTATATTCTGAAAACTCTCAACCTCTCCTTCTTTTTCTAAGCAAGTTGTAATTGTGTTTGCTACCCATTGCTTAAAACCCTCATCATACTGTGTTTGTTTCCATATTATAGATACAAATGTGAAAATGTTGTATGAGTGGTGCATACGGTATTACCAAACTAGTGTGCAATCAACAAAATTACCAGAAACTAATTGCCACACTTTGAATCTGGAGTCTTTGGCACCCCTGAGGGCCTTGGGCCCCAGTTGGTAATTCATCTTTTCAGCAGGGCCACTTTCATCATGTGATTTTTTTTAAATTATTCACATTTTTGTGACAGTGTGTGAATTGTGTGCCCCAAACAAATCTGAATATTTTGTAGTTTTTAATTATGACTGTATAACAGAGAAAGAATGCCAAGAAACAGTTCTTAGAAATGTACTTGGCAGCCGGAGCATTGAGGGTCAGTGTGGCTCTGCTCTGTATGACTGAAGAGGGAATAATCATTTATTACACTGACCACACATCTTGACTGTCTACACTGGCTCTTGAAATGTACCACCAGGCTGCATGTTTGAATGAAATATCAGATCCAGCTGTGTCACAGTGACCAATTAAGTGGAATTAACTCCTTGCCTGCTATGTTTTTTCTCTACTTTTGCCAATATTCCCTAAACCTAACTGTAAGAACAAAGCATGCCGTGATGGACTGCTGCATTTTAGTTAGAGAAATGTTTGAGTGAGTAGGCCTGCATTTAGCCTACCCCCTCGGTCTCCTCCTCCCCGCCTTTCTCAATCTGCCATTGGTTAGCACGAGGCAGGCTCTGGGATGATGATGCCTGGAAAGGGGGGTAAACTCGGAGCGCACGTCTCCCCTGCTGCGCACACACGCACAGCAAAAGTGAAGTGAAGATGCTTCTTCCCTTTCGATCAGCAGTCCAGCCCGTAAGCCATTCACTTCTTCTTTTTCTCCTACCAGAGCGCCAAACTGCCCTCTTCCCTGGTATACAGGAGGAACTTGCCGCTCCGGGGCTTGTCCAGGTCGGAGGAGGCAAGAGAAGGCACCGGAGATCCGGAGCGCCGTTACCACGATAGCGTATCCGTGGAGAGCTACGGGTCGGTATGGGTGCGCTGACAAAGGGACGTTACCTCTCCATGATGGGCCTCCTGCTCCTTGTTTATTGCACAGTATCCGTGATCTCCAAAGGTAAGAGCTGTGTCCGGGTGCATGCATGGCTACACTCGGTGCCACTAGGTTTTACACGCTTTTACCCGGCTTGTTAAAAAAGCATTCTGCTTGTGCCATCCTCGTGGTTACGCACCCCTTGTCACGCTTCTATCCTGTTTGTAAAGCTGTGGGCTTTGTCTGGAGATTTGAAAACATACCACTGTGAAGATTCAATTTTCAACGTGGGTTTTTGATTCCTCCACGGACTTATTGCCACTGTTTGAGCTTTCTGTTCCCCAATGTGCAGCAGAGCTTCTGATATTGATTTATCAAGCCACGGCTCGCAATGTCAAGTTCCCACACTGTTGATCTTTTTCACATTCCCCTCAAATCGATGTTAATTGTTCCATTTTCACTGAGTTCTCGCTGTCTTAATGAATCCATCATCATGACCGCGCTGCATTTAGGATGCGCTTTATTACAGGCACGCCTGTGCAACAGGCATGTCAACGCATTTTGGGGAGTTTATGGTGTGGTTCTGCGAACGTCGATCTTCCTTTTAAAACGATATCATGAATTGGATACAGTGTATTTTTAAAGAAGTGGGTATGGGAGGCTATTTCAGAAGGGCGCAGGGACACAGTATGTTGAATTCAAGCACAAAATAATAAAAGCTTTGTGCCACTAAGCGCCTAAAAAGATCTTTGAAAGGGCGGAATGGCCCACGTCCCATGCACTTTTAAGGAACATTTTGATCATTTGTTTTAACCCACGTGCCCATGTGGTTAAAGAAATAAAGATACTGGGGTGGCTGTGCCAAGTGGGACCACATGTAAATATCTGCCACATTGTTATTTCTCTGCAAATAGTTGTATTATTTTTCTCTAATCTTTTACTATTCTTACATAACTTGCATTTGTTTATTCCATATTTATATTTCTACAACTATTATGTAAACTGTATGTTTGTCTAGTGTAGCACCAAAGCAAATTTCTTGTAAAACACCACTTGGCAATAAAGCTCCTTCTGATTCTGAGCCTGTTGAGGACTGGGCATCTGTCCCAGTTTAATGTTGTTGTTTTGTTTTTAAATAGAGAACAAAAATCAAGAAAAATATTGATTTGTAATCAATATAGGGGGAATTTGATGTAGTGACTTTTGCATAGCTGATGTTTTAGTGACTTGTAGCTGCTGTATTGAAACTCATCCATTTTATTCAAATGTTACAACATGAGCACACCACTCCACAAAAACATCTGATTTTGTCTGTGTTGAAAAATGTTCATCATTCTTTGTCTACTGTAAAGGCTGCGGCACAGAACAGATTCTTCAGATCCCTGGTGATGTAGGTTATAGGTGAGTGTGCAAAGTGATGGTATTCGAATCTGCTGTGATATTATCGTTTCCCCCTGTGGAGCCACATGTTCTGAAGTCACTGTATGGCAGCCCACGGAGCTGAACTGCGCACAGTAATAGATTGAGGTCATAGCATCACGACTCCATTGCCCACTACAGTCACTGAACAAGGGTGTGCAAAGTCGCCTGTTAGACTGAGCACAGGAACACTCCAGCTTTTCCATCTTATTGGTGAATCTGGTGGAATGGATGGTTTTTATATTACATTGTGTTGTGTATTGTGAGGAAATTGTGCACCAAATACTAAAGTTGCATTTAAGAGTTTAGTATGCAGCGTGCATGTGACTGTGTAGAAAAGAACGTTATTAAAGGACAGTATTTTTTTCGGTTTTGTGAAAGGCAAACAGGTGCCATGTCTTGTTGAGCAAATTCTCGCAAAACTGTTAAGGCCATCTGTTAAAGAAAACAATAATTACAATCCAGCTTTGCATCTAAACCAGTGGCCCCCACCATTGTTGGTTTGTGACCCCTTAAAATGAAACAGTGTCTCCTTAGAATCCTTATCAGTTTCATACAGTGTAGTTATGAGCTATGAGATGTTTAAGGGGTACTCCAGCTATTTATTGTTGCTTAAACATAACATTGGGGGACTCACAAGAGACAGTTTGAAGCAGCAGAGGCCAAGATATGCTGACCTTTGGTCCCTAGCATAGGTTAAGTTCCATAATGCAGATTGATAGCATTTTTCATTAGACCCTAACTGTCTGAAGAATGCACATACACATCTTTTGTAATGCAGGCTTTCTGTTAAAAATGGTATGTTTCAAGCCTAAACCCTGATGACATCATCTGGGTTAGCTGATGACATCATTGGGGTTATCTCGACAAAACTATCCAGAATTCCACAAGAAAAACAAAGATTAGAGAAATATCTGAAAGATGGAATTTTGTATAGAAACAAATATATGTTTTCCTGCACCGTGAATAATCTTGTGACCCTTAAACCCTAGCTCGGGAAACAGTTATTCAGACTAGAGATAAAAAGGCTTATCATACAAGCAGATGTGCATCTTTGCTCTATGCAAATATGCGCTAGTAAATAGTTTTTATGTTAAATGTGTGCAGTAGCATGCATTATACAGTTTTGATCATTAGTTCCCAAAATGGCAGCGTTTGAAACTGAGGGATTACAATACCGAAAAACCCCGACATCAGTCAACTCCTCTGAGGAATCTCGTTTCCCAAACTATGTTGCTCTACTGTGCACCAAAGGATTCATAAAGAAAAGTTCAAAGAGGCAAAGGATGTAACAGTTGTGAGTCAGATGTTTTCTGGATGGAGGGTTTGTTCACTGCTGGTTAGAAGACAGTTTGATTTAAAATGTTATTCAGTGTTTATATTTATCACTTTGTGCGATAGACTATGTCATCCCAGAATATTTATATTGGGCAAACAGGCCAAATCTGTGGTTTCTCACTTAAAGAGACTGTGGCTTTTGTTGTTAACACAGACACATCTACTGAAGGGTTGCAGCAAACAATTATTTTTCTTGTGATTAATCTGCCAGTCTTTTCTTGTCTTTTTGTCTATGAATAGAAATGTCCATCATACAAAGTGGCATCTTCATGTCCCTTGTTTTATCTGAGCATCAATCAAAAACACAACGATATTCTGTGAACTATTGTGAGAAGTTAAAATTTTTAGGTGTTGAAGAATGAAATGATTAAATTAATTATCAAAATAGATACATTTTCTGTCAATTAATAATCAACTAATCAACCAATTATTTTAGCTCTAGAAGCAGCTACATAGAAATTTCACTTAAAGCATCCATTGTGGCTACAGGAATCAAAGTGACATTGCGTCTCCAGCTCCTCATATACAGCACAAACACCTTCTGTGTTGCCATTTCTCGGCACATCACATCAGTCTCAAAGGCCATAGATGTAACGACAGGTGTCACACGGACATTTCCCCACACGGTTGACTGTATGAACCAAACAGCAGCAAACACAGCAGTCGGCCGCAGCGGATAGCGCTAGCTTGCGCTCAGCGAGATTTAAGCTCTTAAGGAACAGTGGTGATATTCGCAGGCCTCGTTGGCTGGGAACGAGACTCACGCAAGGGGTCACAAAGGAGGGCTCCTCTGTGTAACGTGTCCATGAAAAAGCATGGCGTGGTCCAGAGGGAAACTTTAAAAGGCTTTTCAATCGTGTTGCACAGTACTGGTCATGAAACACATTAGAGATATTTCAAAGTCCAGTTTCCTGAGCAGTGATATTAGAAGGGCCTTCCTCATAGATCACTTATTGCATATTACCATGTATTTATCTCCTAATGAAGCCCTACTTAGAGATGCAAAAAGGCTGTCTGATATTTGATATAACCTGGCTTCTGATGAGGCTCTTGTTGATTTCATTTGACACGCAGGCGTATTTATTTGGGACTTGATGATTAATTCTTGTGATATGTGATTTAGCAAGAGAGAGCTGTTGTGTATAGAGTAAGAAAAATAATGAGTAAGGGGATTATGTGATATTTGATTGAGGATTGCTGATGTCACCCAGTTCATTTGCCAGTAATTCAACATGCTCTTCTGTAAGTTTTCCTAATGCTAAATATGATTAGAAGAATGTGTGGAGCTGCTAAGGTTTGCCTTTGTGGAAAGTCAGATTGCACATGTGCCCAGGCCCCTGGTGGTCACCTCATTTGATAAACATTAGCAGCATCCAACATCTTGCAGCTCCACAGATGCACAATTGTATCAAGTCTCACTGAAGTAACCATTGCCACATGGCGTGTGATGCCGTGCCTCTCTGTTTTCTGCCGCTGCAACCTTATTTGACAAGTGGACTTGTCAATTCTCCCCGGGCTTTAGTTCACCCTTGACCTTGCGCTGTGGATTGTACCTCTTTGTTCTTGTTCTTCAGGTTTGGGGGTGGGGAGGGGGGGGAGAAAGAAAAGAAAGAGACATAGCAGAGTACAAAAGATTCACAAAACTGTGGCTGCTTTTGTTTTCTAGAAAAAAAAAATCTCAAGGTTTTTATATTTTCCTGTGTACAAGGCTTTCATGAAAACATACAAAGGTCAAATCTGTTATTTTTCTTCAGAGAAAGTAAAGGGGCTCTTATATTTTCCCTGCCGATTCCAGAATGAATCATCATAGTCAGGCTGCCGTGGGTGACAACGTGCGCAGTTCAGTGCCCAGATTTACATTTAAATGAAACCAAATGGCTGTACATTCAGAAATGATATACAGTAATGATGATGGTAATAAAAGCAAAGTCCTCTTTCATATTGGACTGGCTCCTACTCGGGATTCCTGTCATTTGGGGACTTTGCAGGTACAGTTGGTGAGTTATGTCTTTGCTACGTCAAGACTATTACCTTCACATTTCAACGAGTGGATTCATCAACGTGCTGCCTAAGAGGCTTAATGTAGTCAGCAATCAGGCCTGCAGTTCATTGGGTTCTGCAGTGACTGCATGCTACTTAGACATTCGACTTTATCCAGCTACTATATGTTATCTCTATGTTTATGCTGCAAAGACGTATAATGGCCTGGTTCCAAACCTTTGTATGGGATCTTATCTTCTTGTACGCGAGTCAGAAAAATCAGGACAGAGAACCAAAATGTGGTGAAAGAGGTTGAGATTGACACAGCTGTGGGCTATTCAAAGTCT